TGCATTGATGATGAACCCATCGTCACCGGCGGGTGGCAGTACAATAATTTAGTCACATGGTTAAAATGAACAAAGAAACCGGTCCCGACAAGCCCATTGGTGTCTGCTAACCTTTTTACGTACACTTGTTACGGTGAAACACCGAAATCTGGAGAATGTCGACTTTCACCGGTGAATGTCAACATTCACATAGTCTCTTGGTGTATGTCCGAAATATTTTCCAAATACTCTTATTTCTGACTTACACCCGGTCATGTCGACATTCACCATGTACTAATGGTGAATGTTAAACATATAACAAATAATTTTTCTTCTCCGTCATTCAGTCGCGAATAAACGCCACTGAGGCTTGAAATAAGAGCTTAAGAACATGAGAATCTAAAACACACATACATTCAACATGAGAAGGAAAATAATAGAAGTTTAAAAACTTACTTAATAATACAGTACGTTCTAAATGAGAAAATAAATAACAGTCATAAAAAACTTACTAAATTAGTGATTCAAATTCTTATTTATGCAACAACTTAAACTATTATGGGCACTTATGACCTCTCTTTTCGACTTTTCAACCAAGAGCATATCTGTGTTCGACACCGGTGAGGGTTCGAATATACAAGAATGTAGTGAAATATTCGGTCTTTCACCGACGTATTTGGTGAATGCTGATATTCTCCGGTGAAAGTTGACATTCTGCAATTTCGGTCTTTCACAGTAACATACTCACTAGTGCGGGAAATTGCATTGGGAAAGTTTGCCAGCGCGATGATTGGATTATAAATGTATGGTAACGTAATACAAGGTAATGCTTTGAAAATTTTGCAAGGGACTTTTTGTTAAGAGATTTCTAACGCCAAAAATCCCTATATTTCGGAATCAGCTATACTATTCTGTCGTACTTGACACGTATTTAAGCACCCCGATAATTTAGTAAACAAAAAGTGAATCTTACCAACTTTATTCATCTCAGTATTCTTTTGTTCTTCTTCGTCTTCCGCCGTGCCGGTGATCTTCTGCAAGTTGTGGAAGAATTTCGAGGGAATTTCTTTGCTTTCACGAATGCCAGTGAATCTCATCTCGTCTTGATGCTTCGAGGTTTTATCTGGAAAAAAAAATATATATATATATATTTTAAATATATATATGCAGATCTGCTGCAGCACAGCATTTCTTCATCAGTAGGGGTATAGCTTCTCTGAAAAGTTATTGTTTTAACATTTAGTAAATTGGCTAATGCATTGACAGGATTACTTAAAATTTATGAATTATTAATTTCAGTATCTGAAAAAAAATTAATATAAAAGTAATACTATAAAAATTCAGCCCAAAACCGAGACTTTTTGCAGCAACAAAAAATGTAAGTTAAATTTATTTGTTACTACATTAAGCAACTAAAATTCAGTTCCGGTTATTCATTTATATTCAAAATAAAACTGAACCTAATACACTCTAATGTATTTTCTTGATTTTTCGTTTAATTTATAATGCATTACATAATGGTGCGCTTTATTTCAAAAAGTAACAGGAGGTTAAGAAAAGGTTTTTTTTCCTAAATCAAAATTAGTTCTATTTTTCGAAGGTCACTCACTTGATCTCAGGGGCGTAGCTAGGAGTGGGGTCAAAGGGGAACATCTGTCGCCGGGTGCAGTATCCAGGGGGCGCCAAACTGACATTAAGAAATTTTATAATGAAATGTTTTCCATTTTTGGCAAATATTAGGAGGGTGCGAAATCTTCAATTGTCCCCGGGCCCTGGAAGCCCTAGCTACGGCTCTGCTTGATCTACTATTTACTCCCACATTATTTGAAAAAGAAACACATTGGTAGCGAGAAGACACACATCTAAACATCATATTTAATAATAAACACACATTAACAAACTCATATATAAATTTAATATTCCCATGGCTAACTTAAGAGCTCTTTGAAAATACAGCAGTCTACCTCTTCACAACAAAATCGTATTATATAAAGCAGTGCTCTGTCCATCCTTGCTTTACGTCTTCCGCATAAAAGGAACGTACTATAAAGACGAATCTGCATAAATTCTGTAAAGTCTGTTAGAGAAACGGCCAGCGTCCCCTGATTTTTAAGGAAAAGCGCATTTCATACCAATATCTAAACCATCAGAAGATCCAAAACTGCTCACACTTTTTCTACAATATTAAACAGATCAAAGAACAACGATCTCGTTTTAAAACCATGAACTACGACTCAAAAAAAAATATATATATAATATATATCACCCATAAGCAGCTCATATTCTTCCTTTGTAACAGATAGCGCTATTTTTTAAATTGGCACGTAGTCGTTATCTACTCTTTCCTCTACCTAAGAATATTAAACGTTTACACTACATTTTTTGTGTGTTTATTATTAGTACAGTGTCTCAAAAAAGTGATAGGACACTTGTGCTTTACAAAAGGAAACTGTAATAAAATTAATTAAAAAAACATGTAAAAATTTTTTGTGGGTGGGTGTGTTTCATACTTAAATTTAGTAACAATTATTACATAACATACATTTTCTCAAAATATTAAAATATTAATTTAATAAAAATACAATTGTTTAGAACAGAGCAAAAAATGGCTCACATAAGTGAGGGGACACTTACTTTTTCCATCAAATATTTATCCAAACATTTTACTTTTTAAAAGGTTTTAATATTTTGTTGGATATCCTTTTACTTTTAAAACATAATTTAATCTTCTTGGGATGGTTTCGACTATTTTTTTTTTTTTTTTTTAATTTTTGGAATGATTTTACCCCATTCTTCTTGAAGCACCGATTTTAATTGTTGTTTTGAAGAAATGGTGTGTTTGCGAATTCTTGATTCCATTTCTTGCCAATAGTCTGCATGGGACTTAAGTCTGGAGATTGTGGTGGTGTTTTTATTATTTCAGGACAGTTATACAGCAGCCAGAGTCTAATGTTCAAAGCAGTGTGCGTGGGGTCATTGTCCTGGTAGAACTTAAAATCGTTATGAAGGTTCAATTTTCGCGCTGAAGATTTCAAATTTTGATTTAAAATGTCATTATACTGTCAATAAAAAAAAAGAGTACCAACTCCAGCGGACGACATACACCCTCATACAATAACTCCTCCTCCACCATGTTTTTACTGTTGGCACCAAGTTCTGTTTTCGAAATTCTTCCCTGGGTTTTCTTCACACCCAAGATTCTACTGTCAGAACCAAATATATTAAATTTACTCTCATCAGGAAATATAACTTCATTCCAGTAATCAGAATTCCTATTTATGTTGGATTTTGTGAAAGCCAGTCTGAGTTGTCTATTCTTTTCACTTCACGAAGAATTTTTTCCTGGCTGCTCTACCGTGATATCCAGCATATCTAATTACTCTTCTAATAGTCTCAGGATTAACAATTACTCCATATAATGCTTGTAAATCAGACAGTAACTTATAGGAGCACTCATTCTTGGAGTTTTTTTTTAATATTTCCAACGATAATTCGCTTTATTCCTTTGGATAGCTTTGATGGTCGGCGAGGTCTTCTGTTATCCTGAATCATATGATTGCTTTTTACGGGTATCGTTATGAAATGATGCACAAGTCCGATGAAAAATGAACAAAAAATTATTATACAACAACAAAAATGCTTAAATTTTCTCAAATTATCACGCAGTATTACAATATCTCATAAGTTATCTTTTAACTACTCAAATGTACAATAAACGTAATTCAAAACAGCTAAAGAACGCTAATCCGCGAATTCGCTATAATCAACAACGGCAGTTTTCTAAACAACAGCAAAGCAACTACAAAACTGAGATGTTTCCTCCTTTTATAAGATTTTAAAATCACGCGCTAGAATTTCCACTTTCTCGAAATCAAAAGAGATATTTATTTATATTAATGCACGCGCTCTTGTATTTTCAATTTTCCGGCTTAGCTTTCTTTTAATATTCGTCACGCGCTGCACTGCGCGAGAAATAAAACCATTTAATTTATAATTAAACTAAACATTAGCTTTTTAAATACCAAATTCGTAACACACTGCCCCCTTCCCAAGGACTGCACGTCCCCGGGCAGTACAATCCCTGGACAGGAAGCTAAACTTACGACTGTGGCATAAACTTACATTACAATATCAAACAACATGAACAATAAATGCAATAACTAACTTAAACAAATCAAATGCTATCAAATACTAAATACAAAACAATATTTCAGATTGTAATCCAGTGTTTCAGAGAAGATTTTTGTTGCTGCTCAATAGGTAAAAACATTACTTACGCTTACCAAACCACAAACATTACTTACCAAATCATAAAAACCAAGTCTTTACCATTAAATAAAGCGAAATCTTAAGGGGACTCATACACCTTAAACCCCTTTTGATCTTCGAATATGTGACTGTTGCCAGAATTGGGATATTTATTTATTTTAAAAAGCAATTACTTCCAACTTTTTTACAGCTGACTACATAATAACTGCGTGGAAAATAGTAACCAAAGTTTGTGTTGCCACAAATATTTTGTAATTTTAAACCCTTTGTGACAAAATATTTCGCCATGTTTTCACGTTGCGCCATGATATTTTAAAAATGGCTAATGGTACATACTGAAATTGGATGGAATTCTTTATATGGGCACTATTTTCTAACTGAACCAAAGCTGATAAATATTTTAATACTGAAAATTTTATGACGAAAACATTACAAATTTTTTTAATAAAATATATTTATAAACTCAACTCCAAATAAAATAAAATTAACATGAAATTTTTAGAAGTTTAGGTTCACAGTAATTTCTAAGTGTTATAAAAAGCTATATATTAAATATGGATTAAATATGCAGCAGAATATTTTAACTGTGCGCGCAAGGTGGGAAACATGACGAAAAATGCTGTCACAAGCTGATTAAATTATAAAAAGATTTGTGGCAACACAAACTTTCTGATGACTATTTCAGAAAGCAGCTATATTATGTAGTCAGCTTTAAAAAGTTTGTAGTAATTGCTTTTAAAATAAATAAGTTATCCCAATTCTTGCAACAGTCACCTATTCGAACATCCCATGGGGTTTAAGGTGTATGAGTCCCCTTAACTCAGATAAAGAATCTGAATTTTGAAAGCTCGAGCGTTGGTGTCTGCATATCGTTTTTGAGTGTGAGTTACTGAAAATATTCAGTTATCCAGTAATACAAAAGCATATTACCATTTGAAAAAGATTTCTGTTAGAATTAAATTAAATAATAAAGGGAGAGAGAAAGTCTGAAAGAATTCAGATTTTTAATGTCTGATCAGAGGATTTCTTAAGCACTTTATTAAGGACCCAGAGCATCGCAGGTTAACAATCTGCTTTTGGAATCTCTTTTGAAAGCACCATTTTTACCCCAAACAGCTATAAGTCTCAAAACGACATTTTGCGTCGCTTCACTTTCTGCGTCGCTTCACTTTCTGCGTTGATTCACTTTTTCAAACTGTTGCCACCAAATATTATCGTCATGTATTCTATTTAAAGAAACTAAATAATGAAGAATCTGCATGAATATTTCTAGCATTATGAAAAAACAACGGTATTCTGGTGGTCGTATACGTGTCTGTAGTGTCCGAGGGGACCGCACGTCGCCTGCTTGCATTCGATATCGGCCTAGGGGCCCTGCACCTGCCCTGCACCTGCATTAATTATTTCTAATTAGTCATCTCGTAATTTAAATACTTTTAGGAGCTGCATTTACTGCTTTACAATCATTTGGTTACTTTAATCAGTAACAGAAAGGTTCAGTTTAAAAGTTAAATATCGTATGTTTTACAGAATGGCAGCACGTTGGTCCATGGAGATAAAAAGTATCCTATTTGAGGCAGTTGCAATATGTTCCTTTCAAATAGCCTATTTTTATGTTAAAATTGAAAGATAAATAAATATTTTTTTAAGCCAACAAATTTTTAATATCGTAGTTCTCCAACCGAACATGGGCACTCGGAAGCCCGAATTTTGAATTTCAAATTTGTTTTAATATCTATTTCAAATTTTTTGAAACTTTAATTAATTTTTGATTAACAAACTCGACGATTTCAAAGCGAGTTATGGCAACACTGTAGGGAAGAAAGCATTTTTGTCTCCAGCGCCCGAGGCTGTGTATCGGAAATTCTAAAGATATGCTGTTTTTAAATATCTTGTGATATTGCTGTTGAATTTAATTATATGTTGTGTAAATGCGAAGAACATAATATTTAACAAATGAAGGTAACATAAAAAACGTTAAAAAATGCCCTTTTGGGCGTAATATAAAATCTGAAAGCTTTCAGAATTTTTTAAAAATTTCTTAATAGTCCAAAGGATCGTTAGCCTAGAAGGGATATTAGTCTCAAAACAACAGTTTGGACTAAATCACTTTAATACGATGTATCACTTTTTAAATCATTGCCACCAAATATTATCGCTCTGTATTATACTTAAAGAAGCTAAATAATGAAGAATATTTATGAATGTATGTATGTTTCTGGCACTTGGAAAAAGCAACGGTACCTTGAGTCATCAAATTTTGAATAACATAGTCCTCCATCCGAACATGAAGCCTGAACTTTGAATCTGTTTTATTTTCTGTTTCATTCTTTGTAAAACTTTAAAGAATTTTTGATTAGAAAAACTCAACAATTTCAAAGCGAGCAGTAGCAACACTGTAGGAAATAAAACATTTTATTTACTGTCTATAGGAAATTCTAAAGATATGCTGTTTTTAAATATTTTTAGCCCAAAGTGGCGTTAGCCCAAATGCTCTCGCAACATGTCTGTATCTGTAAATGGAGAAAAAAAAAAAGCACTTTTGGGCGCAAGATAAAATTTGAAAGGCTTTCAGATTTTATTTCTTTAATTAAAAAAAATGTTTTTTGTTTTTTAAGCTTAATTACTAAGCATCGCTTTTTCTCCCTGATGCCACATAAAATTCAAGAGAAAAATCACAAAACATTTAAAAACAGCATATTTTTACGATTCCTGATATAAGTGTTAGGAACCGAACACTTTTTTTTTAATATTCGCTATATTATTTCTTTGAAAACTACTCACTCGAGCGACCGACTGCCTAAAAGAATTACCATAGAAAAGAAAAAACATATACTGATTTTAATGACTCCAGCTAATGTCATTTCACAAAAATATTAATTCTAATTAGTCATCTCGTAGTTTAAATACTTTTAGGAGCTGCATTTACTACTTTACAATCATTTGGTTACTTTAATCAGTAACAGAAAGGTTCAGTTTAAAAGTTAAATATCTTACGTTTTACAGAATGGGCAGCACGTTGGTCCATGGAGATAAAAAGTATCCTATTTGAGGCAGTTGCAATATGTTCCTTTCAAATAGCCTATTTTTACGTTAAAATTGAAAGATAAATAAATATTTTACTTTTTGTCTAATAAAAATAGTCTGGCACGTCGGAGATAAAAATATTTTATTTCGAACGGTATTATTCCCGCTTTAAAATTTATAATTTATTAAACGAAATTTCGTTAAATTTGTATAAAATATGAAATAAACCATAAAGAAATTTTGCGCTTCATTTAAATTCAAAATTTGCGCTTCGAGATGCTACGTTCGCGAGAGGAGGACTACGAGCATGAAAAAATCGGGTGGGTCTAGGTGACATCGTTATTCCACACTGCGAGAAACATAACATACAAATAGTAAAAGTAAACTATATGCAAAACAAGAAGGGGGAAAATTATGTGAGTATATAAAAAATTTTTGTAATCTAGCGCCAAAAAAAGCTAAGGGAAGAATTTCGCGAAATACGCGAGGAAATATGGTACTACTGCCGAAACGTTTTCAAGATGGTCATTTCGTCGTTCAGCTTGAAGAGGATGATTACTAAAGTATGCTGGTGGACAAAATTAAGAGATGGAATACTTTGCCCCAAATATCTCGTGAAATATTGGATAGAGATAAATGAACTTAGGTATGGATATAGCTTATTGTATGACAATTACGTGTACAAAACAACAATGAAAATGCCATTCATAAGTATGAGTCATGGCCAAGACACCCATGTTGTCCACACTCGAGGTTGAAAGATGGCGCCTCTACTTTGCCACAAATGTCTCGAGAAATATTGCATAGAGGTAAATGAACATAGGTATGGATATAGTTTATTGTATGACAATTATGTGTACAAAACAACAATGAAAATGCTATTCATTAGTATGAGTCATGGCCAAGACTCCAGTGTTGTCCACACTCGAGGTTGAAAGATGGCGCCTCTACTTTGCCACAAATGTATCGAGAAATATTGCATAGAGGTAAATGAAATTAGGTATGGGTATTGCTTATTGTATGACACTTACGTTTACAAAACAACAATGAAAATGACATTCATTAGCATGAGTCAATGCCAAGACTCCAATGTTGTTCAGACTCGAGGTTGAAAGATGGCGCCTCGACTTTGCCACAAATATCTCGAGAAATATTGGATAGAGGTAAATGAAATTAGGTATGGGTATTGCTTACTGTATGATAATTACGTTTACAAAACAACAATGAAAATTCCATTCATTAGCATGAGTCATGGCCAAGACTCCAATGCTGTCCAGACTCGAGGTTGAAAGATGGCGCCTCTACTTTGCCACAAATATCTCGAGAAATATTGGATAGAGGTAAATGAAATTAGGTATGGATATTGCTTATTGTATGACACTTACGTTTACAAAACAACAATGAAAATGCCATTCATTAGCATGAGTCATGGCCAAGACTCCAATGTTGTCCACACTCAAGTTTGAAAGATGGCGCTTCTGACACAGTCAGCATGCACAACACGTAGCCATACTGTTAATAAGAGAGTTTAGGACTGCCTATGGAAGTGGCACTCGCACCCCTGCCACAGCAGTTTTTAACTCCTGAGCAGATCTAGGTGGGTATTGACTTATCGCTATAGGCTTCCCAAGAGCATCCTAAGCATGTTCATTAGGCTTACGATCAGGAGATTTTGCTGGCCAATCCATTTGTAATATCCTCGCTTTCCAGATAATCATCAGCCAGGTGGTCGTGTATTGTCTCACATAAAAATGAACAGCTAACATAGTGGTCAATTACATTTATTCAGTTTCATCATGGTGATACAGGGACCTAATCAAAACGTCGCCAAATGGTCACCAAGTTTGGCGATTTCTCGCCAAATTACTGACATACCCATTTACACAATGTTAAACGGACTTGCCCCTGTATTCGTAGTTTTCCGGCTTAGCTTCTTTCTAAGCGTTTTCACGTTACATTATGCAGCAAAATACAAGGATTTTACATATAATTGCACTAAAGTCATACATCTATATACAAAATTAGTAGCACTTTATTTCGGAAATAAAACATTGAAGTGATCACTGACCTTTGCTAGAGGGCTCTTCCTCGGTGTCCGTGATAATCTGCAGCACTCTGAAAGCCTTGGACTGTGCGACACCTCGAGCGGAATCGAAATCTGTGTCTTGGAAGCGGAAGGTGTGGTTTCGTGGCAGAGTCGCGGAGCGGGAAGGAGCAGAAAGACTAAAAATGATCAAAGTGAATGAGTTGTTTTTTATATCACTCTAAAAATATCAGAAATGATTGACTGAATCAGTATTTAATTAATGAATAAATTTCTAAATCCACCTTAAAATAATTATTCGCAGCACGAAAACTTCCCGTTACAGCCTGACACTTCACAAAAGAGTTTAACATTAAAAGTTTTGGAAAAATTAAAATATATATGCAAAGAATTCAAAACCACGAAAGAAAACATAAAAATGCTTCACTTTATTTCATAAATCAAAACAGTTTCCATTCATGAAAATAAATATTGACTGTTTGGAAAACAAAAATTCGACTTAAAATAAAACTAAAAACTTTCTGCTTGTTACTTCCTGTGTAAATGATGTATTGTAACCACGCAAAATTCGGGTCTCATCAAAATTCCATTTTGACCGCTATCGAATGCAATTAAACGATGTTTTAGCTAGTCATCTGTACGTAAGGACAGAATAAAGGACTCTTTTCTCACGAAAAATTATAAAACTGATTTAAAATGAATTCTAAAGAGATTTTTTCGTGGCGTCTGTACGTACGTACGTACGTACGTATGTATGTATCTCGGATAACTCAAAAACGAGTAGCCTCAGAACGTTGAAATTTTATATATAGGACTGCTATAACATGTAGATGTGTACCTCGGATTTTGGTTGCAAGTATGATTGAAATCAGCTGAAAATTTGGTCACAAACCGTTTCAGTGTTTAGCCACATACAAGTTATTGTCACGAAGTCTTTCGTGTCACAAGATATTCCTTCTTCAAGGAGATACTTGCTTTATTGCCACAAGCCACATACTTGCTGTCATTTCCCAGGGACACTCGTATCACTTTTGTAACCACAAGGTGGGGTTTGTTTGAGAAACTGTAGCTCCTCCCAAAAAAGGAACATCGTTTTGAATCACTAATTCCCTCCTCCCTACTTATTCTCGTCAACCTTAACTTAACATCGTGAAATATAAAGCATCTCTGTTGTCCATGCGTTAAGTTTCTGTGCTGGCTGATTTTTTCATAGTTGAATCTGTATCTTCACAATTAGATATAATTCACATTTTGAGGTACTTAAACGCAATCACAGAAATTCATCAAAAATTCACAATAACTACGCAAGATTCCTGAATTTTTCACTGCAAAATCTGATTTGATTTAGGTAGAGCAGCTATTTAATTTAAGAATTACAGTAACAAGTATATGGGACACCACGACATCGTCATTGATAAAAATGGTATAACCCGCATATACTAACTAACTAGAGAACTGCACCCCCATGGGCACATCAGTGCCAAGCTTTGGATCTTTGTTGGATACTATTAAAAGGCTGCATTTTGCATAATAGGATAATAGTTACAATAGGTTACATTTCATTTGTGGGCGCATGGTAATTGTGCACAGAAAGATAATTTGACAGGGTACTGAGAATTGGTTATGCAAATAAGCATAGTAATTAAATTAAATCCATAATTTGAAATGCTAACAGAGTACAAAATACAATATGAGAATACAAAGTACAAAATACAAAAAGCAGTGTGCATTGAGAGAATTACATATTTTATGAAGTTGGTGCTTGGTATTTGTGCATTTGTCATATAGTCTAGGGTTCAAAGTTCAGTTCGTTGAATTGTGTGCACTAGTAGTTCAAAGGTCACGATCAAGTTTAGTACGTTGGAACATGTACACTTTTGTTTTGTGGTTTGATTTCTGGGTTCACAGTCAGTTCATTCGCATTTTAGATGTGTATTGCAGAAACTTAAGGCACTCTCTTGGATGAATATTTAATTTTACATATAGACTACCAGGGAGGGACTCCTGCATTAGCAGTTTGTCCTTTCAGGAATCAGCATCCATACTCCGGAGACCATTCGAGCGGGCGAATCCCCCGCTGTCCCCACCAGACGACAATAACACTGCAACCGTGTGCTACCCCGGTCAGAACTTCAAAAAAAGCTGATGGAGTTCCGTCGGAAATGTCGGTCCCGCAGAGTGAACAAAAGGGAACCAAGCCCCTAAGGACAGCCATACTATCTAACAATGTTACGAACCCACAGTCAAGGGGGTACAAGTAGGGTACTGGTACAAGACAGTACTAGTACGGTCCCTGTCGAGCCTGAAACATCCCCCGAACGAACGGAGGTTCTAGTCCTGTGAAGACTGATCATATACCCCCGTCATTGAGACATGTTGTAAGGATCCTAAGTTTTAGTAATTCCGAAGTCAAACAACAAAAATCAGCGTTATATTTTCAAAATTTTCGCAGGACTAGTTTCGATGGTTTTTACCGAACCACCATCCTCAGCTGCAAAACCGCAAATGAACAAGAATAAGCAAGTGGCGCCATCTGTTGGTGAAACCAGAACTAAAACAATGTTTAGTTCTGTTTATTGTTTTAGTTCTGGTTTCACCAACAGATGGTGCCACTTGCTTATTCTTGTCCAGGTTTTCTTATCTTATCTAATCATTATTTCCTATCTTGTTCATTTGCGGTTTTGCAGCTGAGGATGGTGGTTCGGTAAAAACCATCGAAACTAGTCCTGTGAAAATTTTGAAAATATAACGCTGATTTTTGTTGTTTGACTTCGGAATTAGTATTTATTCGGCGTGTTATTGTGTCTTAATCCTAAGTTTTACTAACGTTTATTTTTATTTTAAAACTGTACTATCACTTCTTAGTTTCTACTTCCGGCCAGAATTAAATGCTTTAACTTGTTTATGTAAATTGTCTTGCTAACGCCCAAGTATTTAAGTTGTGGCTTTTTGCCAAGAGAGAGAAGGAGATTTAGGGAAGCGAGCCGCTTGCCACTGCAGTCTTACGAGTTTTTCACTCGGTTGCTGTTTGCCTTTAAGGCCAGAGGCTTAGCCCTCTTGATATATGTACACGTATTGTAATTTCAGAAGCTCGGCGTACTACATACGTACTCTTTTAAATAAAGTCCAGTCTTAGTGCTAGGCATTTGTATCTAATTTAAAATTAGCTTTTAGTTAGTAGTTTTATATTTTTACGTTCAGACCACAAGTGGTTGGTCTCTGTATCCCGAAGTTCGGGAGTACCTGCAAAGTAGAGAATAAAGGGTTTCGTATACCCTTCCTGCTTGTGTCGTCTACTCCACACGATCTGGAACAGAGCTTCAGTAAGTTAACTGTTCTTATTCAGGATACAGTATGTTCCCAAAACAAGTGAAGAGACATATATCTCCTGACAAGGTCCTAGCCAGTACTTCGCAAGAATCCCCTGGGGTGTTTAATTCTACAGTATTACAATTAAACAGCTTAACAACTAAAAAAAAAATATCTGCAGTCACCATTAAGATGCCTGACTTTATTATGCTGAGCCATTAGTATGCAAATAATAATTTTCGTTTACTTTACTAATCACAGTATCAAACTGAAACCTTGCTTGCATAATGAAAACCAATGTATTACAATCGCGACATCTGTAAGAAAGTTATTTTCAGGTTAAAAACTGGCCTTCCTAAAATCTTCTGATTTTGAGGTCACTAGACTTAGGGCTTCTGATTTTGAGATCGGACCTTGCGCCGATTTGCACAAAGATGGTGGTAATTTTGTGACGAGGATCAACTAAAGAAACAGCTTATTGAGAGCTGCCGAGACGGTAGAGTGGTTAGGGGAGGTAAACCTCTGAGTTGGCTTCCGACCCAGATATAGATATACCATTGTGGTTAGGGGAGCCTGACCTGCGACACCAGCGGGCCCAGGCTCGAATCCCGAAGAAGGCATTGGATGTAAAATTGTCAGTCCCTTCATAGCAGGCTACGGTGGCCGCCTATTAGGTGCCTCCGCAATAAAATGGCCACCACCAGTTCTGGCCTTAGTAGTCGCCAATGCCGTTATAGGCCGCCATTGGGAGAAAAAATTCCATTAAGAAGATTTTTTTTTTCCATTTTTTAAACCTGAACACTTCTTTTTAGAAGCCGACGAATTACCTCCTTAAAAATTGAAAACTTGTTTTTTGGGTTGTTGTAAATCTACAACTGACATATAAATACAGATCCTCCAAAATACCTTTATTTCGTCGACTGTGACTGAATTCATTTTACTACGATTTTGTAACCTGTACCTATTGGATTCAAACGTCAAATGTTCTAGAAATTCCTTGCCAAACATAAACATTTCCAGTGGTGCTTTGGCTTGATAAGCAGTCCGTTTGGGTTTCAATTCACTCTTATCGGTAGATCTTTATCCGCCCACTCCTCAATTTTCTCAAAGTGACATTTAAAATAAAATATCTAAAATGACTCATTATGAATAAAAAATGGCAGTCTAAGGAAACGTAAGCAATATTATGTAATGTTTACTATGAGAAATTGTACTAACTTGGAAACAGAAGTAGTAACCATTTTCCAAACAGCAATGCTTTACTTTGATGCTGTACAACCATCTATGATCGACAGTTGAAAGTTCTAATAATATAGAATGAGTAAACACAGGAATGGAATCTGTTAAGGCATTTACAGAAGAACAAACAAATTTAAACTTTTGTCTACTAGAGTGTACATGATGCAACAAAGGGTTAAAAGTTGTTATTTTTGGATTAAAAATTGGTTTTTGCAAAGGTTCCTGATTTTGAGGCCACTATCGACTTGCACAAAGATGGTGGTAATTTTATGACGAGGATCAACTAAAAAAACTCCCACTGAGACAGTCCCCACCCTTTTTCTTAAACCTGAACATTTCTCTTTAGAAGCCAGTGACTTACCCCTTTGAAAATTGAAAAACTTGGTTTTTGGATTTTAGGGATACTGCAAAATTAAATTTCTCGAGTTTGATATTACAGCCGACAGATATTGAATTGAAATAAACAATTGCATTTCATAAACAAGTCGCATTGCATTTCATAAACAAGTTAACAAGTCGTGTTTTACCTCTTATCTGCAGCCACCAGTTCCGCTTGAACTTCGAGGGCCTCTAGAGCGTTCTCCATAGAGTACATATCCAAGGGCGAATTATAAGTGGGCATCACGATCACTTGCTTCGGTGGCTCGAACTTGGGCAAGCTGTCGACGGGGTTCGAACTCTCTTTCTTCTCGTTCATGTGTTCCTCGGAATACCTCTTCTTCCTCTCGAGTCGCTTCTGCAGCCGGGCGTTAAGCACCTCGGACAAATTCACACCGCCGGGGGTGTAAGTGAAAGGCTTCTTCTCCCTTTTCAGCGTGTTGAGCAGCGCGGCCGGCATGTTGATGTACTGGTTGGCGAGCATTTGGGGCTCTGGAGAAGAAGAACTCTGGGGAAAAAATGCACCATCCGTTAGAACGTGCTTTGTGAGATTTAAATAAATAAATAATTTTTTTTTTTTTTTTAAATCTGAAATGTTTCAGATTTTAACAGTCACATTGAAAGGTTTCTTATGCTTTCGCTTAGTTCGCAGTCTACCAATCTGCTGTTGCACTCACTCCTGCCAACCGAATTTTTTTTGTCTTTTTAGTTTTATTAGGCACTTATGTATTATCGCAATCACATTAGAAAAAGTCGCCAAATCTTCAGAAGTCGCCAAACTAAGTCAAAAATGAGCATAACAGTTCTTTAGGTAACCATATACATTGTAAACTGCAATCGCAAAATTCACCGAATCACGTTTTTCTTTTGCAAAAATCTCCAAACCTCGCCAAGATGGTTGCGTTAATATGTAAGTATCCTTTATTCTTAGGCCTCGTTTTTTTCGCGTTATATGCGAAATATATATATATATTCGTTATGCAATTCAACAGCAAATTCAGGAAAAAATTAAAAATAGCACAGCAGCACATAGTATTTAGAATTCCCGATGCAGTGTTAAATGTTGGCATACATTTTTTTTTTCCTTTTTATTATTAACGTTTTGTATTTTAACTTTACTTATTAAACATCACGTTGTTCATACTTAACGAGAAGCAAAATTCAACAGCAGAATCACCAAATATCTAAAAACAGAATAACTTTTATGTTGTTTTTAGATTTTTCAAATGGTTCGGTAACTATCCAATGGACACTTACAGGGATCGTTATTGCTACAGCAAAACATCAAACATTTTCAGTTTTTAATATAAATAGAATCAAACTTTTTCACAGTTCTCTACATTTCATCTTTTCATTTGCTCATTCTAATACGGATAATTAAGAATACTGCATTTGCTAAGTCTAATGCGGGTAATTAAGAATACTGCATTTGTTCAGTCCAATGCGGGTAATTAAGAACACTGCATTTGCTTAGTCTAATACGGATAATTAAGAATACTGCATTTGCCCAGTCTAATACGAGTAATTAAGAATACTACATTCGCTCAGTCTGATACGGAAAATTAAGAATACTGCATTTGCTCAGTCTAATGTGAGTAATTAAGACTACTGCATTTGCTCAGTCTGACACAGATAATTAAGAATTTTTCATTTACTCAGTCTAATGGCGGTAATTAAGAACACTGCATTTTCTCAGTCTAATGCGGGTAATTAAGAACACTGCATTTGCTCAGTCTAATACGGATAATTAAGAACACTGCATTTACTTAGTCTGATACGGATAATTAAGAACACTGCATTTTCTCAGTCTAATACGGATAATTAAGAACACTGCATTTGCTTAGTCTGATACGGATAATTAAGAACACTGCATTTTCTCAGTCTAATACGGATAATTAAGAACACTGCATTTGCTTAGTCTGATACGGATAATTAAGAACACTGCATTTTCTCAGTCTGATACGGATAATTAAGAACACTGCATTTTCTCAGTCTAATACGGATAATTAAGAACACTGCATTTGCTTAGTCTGATACGGATAATTAAGAACACTGCATTTTCTCAGTCTAATACGGATAATTAAGAATACTGCATTTGTTAAGTCTAATGCGGGTAATTAAGAACACTGCATTTGCTCAGTCTAATACGGATAATTAAGAACACTGCATTTTCTCAGTCTAATACGGATAATTAAGAATACTGCATTTGTTCAGTCTAATGCGGGTAATTTAAGAACACTGCATTTGCTCAGTCTAATACGGATAATTAAGAACACTGCATTTGCTCAGTCTAATGTGGGTGATTAAGAACACTGCATTTGCTTAGTCTAATACGGATAATTAAGAACACTGCATTTGCTTAGTCTGATACGGATAATTAAGAACACTGCATTTTCTCAGTCTAATACGGATAATTAAGAATACTGCATTTGTTCAGTCTAATGCGGGTAATTAAGAACACTGCATTTGCTCAGTCTAATACGGATAATTAAGAACACTGCATTTGCTCAGTCTAATGTGGGTGATTAAGAACACTGCATTTGCTTAGTCTAATACGGATAATTAAGAACACTGCATTTGCTTAGTCTGATACGGATAATTAAGAACACTGCATTTTCTCAGTCTAATACGGATAATTAAGAATACTGCATTTGTTCAGTCTAATGCGGGTAATTAAGAACACTGCATTTGCTCAGTCTAATACGGATAATTAAGAACACTGCATTTGCTCAGTCTAATGTGGGTGATTAAGAACACTGCATTTGCTTAGTCTAATACGGATAATTAAGAACACTGCATTTGCTTAGTCTGATACGGATAATTAAGAACACTGCATTTTCTCAGTCTAATACGGATAATTAAGAATACTGCATTTGTTCATTCTAATGCGGTAATAAAACACTGCATTTGGCTCAGTCTAATACGGATAATTAAGAACACTGCATTTGCTCAGTCTAATGTGGGTGATTAAGAACACTGCATTTGCTTAGTCTAATACGGATAATTAAGAACACTGCATTTGCTTAGTCTGATACGGATAATTAAGAACACTGCATTTGCTCAGTCTAATACGGATAATTAAGAACACTGCATTTGCTTAGTCTGATACGGATAATTAAGAACACTGCATTTTCTCAGTCTAATACGGATAATTAAGAACACTGCATTTGCTTAGTCTGATACGGATAATTAAGAACACTGCATTTTCTCAGTCTAATACGGATAATTAAGAATACTGCATTTGTTCAGTCTAATGCGGGTAATTAAGAACACTGCATTTTCTCAGTCTAATACGGATAATTAAGAATACTGCATTTGTTCAGTCTAATGCGGGTAATTAAGAACACTGCATTTGCTCAGTCTAATACGGATAATTAAGAACACTGCATTTGCTCAGTCTAATGTGGGTGATTAAGAACACTGCATTTGCTTAGTCTAATACGGATAATTAAGAACACTGCATTTGCTTAGTCTGATACGGATAATTAAGAACACTGCATTTTCTCAGTCTAATACGGATAATTAAGAATACTGCATTTGTTCAGTCTAATGCGGGTAATTAAGAACCACTGCATTTGCTCAGTCTAATACGGATAATTAAGAACACTGCATTTGCTCAGTCTAATGTGGGTGATTAAGAACACTGCATTTGCTTAGTCTAATACGGATAATTAAGAACACTGCATTTGCTTAGTCTGATACGGATAATTAGAACACTGCATTTTTCTCAGTCTAATACGGATAATTAAGAATACTGCATTTGTTCAGTCTAATGCGGATAATTAAGAACACTGCATTTGCTCAGTCTAATACGGATAATTAAGACACTGCATTTGCTCATTCTAATGTGTGATTAAGACTGCATTTGCTTAGTCTAATACGGATAATTAAGAACACTGCATTTGCTTAGTCTGATACGGATAATTAAGAAAACACTGCATTTTTTTCTCAGTCTAATACGGATAATTAAGAATACTGCATTTGTTCAGTCTAATGCGGGTAATTAAGACACCTGCATTTGCTCAGTCTAATACGGATAATTAAGAACACTGCATTTGCTCAGTCTAATGTGGGTGATTAAGACACTGCATTTGCTTAGTCTAAATACGGATAATTAAGAACACTGCATTTGCTTAGTCTGATACGGATAATTAAGAACACTGCATTTTCTCAGTTTAATACGGATAATTAAGAATACTGCATTTGTTCAGTCTAATGCGGGTAATTAAGAACACTGCATTTGCTCAGTCTAATACGGATAAAAAGAACACTGCCATTTGCTCAGTCTAAATGTGGGTAATTAAGAACACTGCATTGCTTAGTCTAATACGGATAATTAAGAACACTGCATTTGCTTAGTCTGATACGGATAATTAAGAACACTGCATTTTTCTCATGTGGGTGAAGAAACTGCATTTGCTTAGTCTATACGGATAATTAAGAACACTGCATTTGCTTAGTCTGATACGGATAATTAAGAACACTGCATTTTTCAGTCTAATACGGATAATTAAGAAACTGCATTTGTTCAGTCTAATGCGGGTAATTAAGAAACTGCATTTGCTCAGTCTAATACGGATAATTAAGAACACTGCATTTGCTCGTCTATTAAGAACACTGCATTTGCTTAGTCTTACGGATAATTAATAACCACTCAGTCTAATATTTTTTCGTTAATACGATAATTAAGAATACTGCATTTGTTCAGTCTAATGCGGGTAATTAAGACACTGCATTTGCTCAGTCTAATACGGATAATTAAGAATACTGCTGCGAATCTTATATTACAAAAGGCGAAGAGAAAAAACGTATGTGGCAAGAGCGCGTGCATTAAATAAATAAATATCTCTTTTTGATTTCGAGAAAGTACTGGAAAATTCTAGCGCGTGATTTTAAAATCTTATAAAAGGAGGAAAACATCTCAGTTTGTAGTAGTTGCTTTGCTGTTGTTTAGAAAACTGCCGTTGTTGATTATAGCGAATTCGCGGATTAGCGTTCTTTAGCTGTTTTGAATTACGTTCTATTGTAACATTTGAGTAGTTAAAAGATAACTACTGTGAGATATTGTAATACTGCATGATAATTTGAGAAAATTTAAGCATTTTTGTTGTGATAATAATAAAAAGTTTTGTTCATTTTTCATCGGACTTGTGCATTTACTTCATAACGAACCCGTACGCACGCAACAGTATATACGTTTGTGGCTTATTGCTACAAACGTATATACTACGTCCGTATAACAAATGTATATACGGACTGAGAGGCTAAAGCGTTTGATAAATACTGCTGTATATTGTACTAGCCGTTGTACAGCTACTTAAAGAAAGTGTTTTTGTTTTAATTCTGTTTACTGAAATGTTTTTTGGATACAAAATATTTTTTTCCTATCTGGTGCGGGCAATTTCCCTTTGCTACCCACACAGCAATATTCCTGGTGCTTCATTCTTAAATTTGAGGACTCTGCAATACATTCTAATTTATACATCTTTTCCAACGACTCCACTCGCATGAAGACTGTAATCATAATAAGCATCGTAATGGAATGGACCAAGATTTAAATCAGCGGGTAGTGTGCGTCTCGATCAGAGTTTCTTAAACTGTGGGTCGCGACTCCAAAGTCGCGGGTCGCCAAACATTTTAGCGATTTTGATATTTCCTTAATTATAATAATTTTATAAATACCAAATATTTTTACATAAGCTATAACGTATTTCTCCCACTTTCCTAGCGTCCTTCGTGGTGTAGTGGTTCTGCACATTGAGCCGGTATTCCAGAGGTCCGTGGTTCGATTCCCGGCGCAGGCGGTTGCATATTTTTCATCTTTTCTGCTTCCAATTAACCTAATGACTCTATAAGTGGCGCTCGAACTAAAAGGGTTGTGGATAATGATTCTCCGCGCTCAGTATTTGGCGACTAGGCCCCCTAAAACCCTAGTCGTCCTTTAAAAAGTGGAGTATGTAAGGTATTTCTCCCACTTTCCTAGCGTCCTTCGTGGTGCGGTAGTTCTGGCCGCTGAGCCGGTATTCCAGAGGTCTGTGGTTCGATTCCCGGCTATTTTTCATCTTGTCTGCTTTAAAAAAAATACCTAATGTATCTACAAATGTATTTGAAAATAGATAAAAGATAAAACTGTACAGACAAAGAAAAAACAAAAACGTTTCAACGAATTTTTTTTAAAATATAAACGTTCATTTTACTTTAAAAAGTAAACTTAATGACCTAAAACTGCAATAGTAATTTACAAGTGAAGAAACTGACAGTTTCACTCACTCGTGTGTCCGATTTGCACAATGCTTATGGGGGGTCCCATAAATTTTCTTAAATAATATGGGATCCCCACACAAAAAAGTTTAAGAAACCCTGGTCTAGATCAAGTAGTGGATACTCGAATATTTTCCAATTTTGCTTCCCGTTGTTCGTTTGTTTCACTCGAACAGTCTCGAGCAGTACGTACACGAACGTTTCCCTGTCTTACTTCCCGTTGCCAGTTTGTTTCTGAAGCTCGTGATGCCCCCTTTTTTTTACCGTACTTAAGGAGACTCATACACCTTAAACCCCTTATGATCTTCGAAAATGTGACTGTTCCAAGAAGGGAGCGTTTTTATTTATTTTAAAAGAAATTACTTCCAACTTTTACAGCCGACTACATAATATAGCTGCTTTGGAAACTAGTAGTCAGAAAGTTTGTGCTGCCACAAATATTTTTGTAATTTAATCCGCTTTGAGACAAAATTTTTCGTCATGTTTCCACCTTGCGCGTATGATATTTTAAAAATGGCTAGAGGTACATACTTAAAATTGTATGGAATTCTTTATATGGGCACTCTTTTCTAACTGAACCAACAATCTGATGAATATTTTAATATTAAAAGATTTTATGCACGAAGACATTATAGATTTTTTTAATAAAATACATTTTATAAACTCAATAAAATAAAAATTTAACATGAAATTCTTAGAATTTTTGGTTCACACAGTAGTTTCCAAAAGTTATAAAAGCTATATATTAAATATGGAATTAAATTATACAACATATTGTTTTAAACTGTGCGCGCAAGGTGGAAACATGACGAAAAATTTTGTCACAAAGCGGATTAAATTATAAAGATATTTGTGGCAACACAAACTTTCTGATGACTATTTCAGAAAGCAGCTATGTTATGTAGTCAGCTGTAAAAAGTTGGAAGTAATTGCTTTTAATATAAATAAGTTATCCCAATTCTTGCAACATTCACATATTCGAAGATCTTATGGGTTTTAAGGTGTATGAGTCCCCCTTAAGGTACAAACCGAGCAACCGATTTTCGCTCTAGTAACATAATTGATTTCACAGCAAAAGTAATGCTTTGTGACGACTATTACATAGTCACTTTCAAAAGCAAAGCAAACTCGTGTGATGCAATAACACGCATATTGATGCGTGCGTGTTATTTCGTGAAAATTAAATATTTTACGCTATGCCGAACAATAGCACACTTGAAATATTTTAATTTGAACAGTGCAGCATACTTCTTAAATAGTCGAGTTTTTTTTATTAAATTCGAGACAAATTAATATAATTGGGTTTTCCCGAGTGGCAACACAATTTTTTTTTATATTTCTGAGTATTCTCATTCAATGAGATACATTTCGCAACAGAAGAAGAGGAAGAATGACCTTGCTTGTTTGCATTAGCTGTACATAAGTCACGTGCTCTCTGAGGTCATCTGCATTGTTTTGTAGGTATACATAAGTCACGTGATCAATGAGGCCATTGGAATGTATCTCATTTGAAACACATCTATCTTACGCTTTTGCAGGATGGCCAATGCAAAAGCTTTCAGATCGCTGAGGTTTTTTTTATCAGAGGTTCGTTAAATTCACGTAAAATATAGGGATATTGAATTTTTATTTTTAGAAAAAAATGGTCGATCTTTCCCAGGACCAGAAAAGAATTGTAGAAAGTTTGGTGACGATAGCTATAGTAGCGTTTGATTGTATCGCAAACAAACAAACAGACATTCTTCTTTACATATATTAGATTTTTGTGGGGAAAGACAATTTCGCTGTAAAATAACAAAAGTTTATGCCACTTCTGGTAATTATGCCACTATATGACCTATTACTAATGTTTCATAAAGTGCCTCTTTCCATGAGTGAAAATTCAAAACGGTAATGGTGAGCATACCGTAACTGGCGAATTCCGAGCCCCGCTGTCTCGACCCGGCGGTGAGGATCCGACTGAAGAAGAAGCATTCTCTGTCGTCCAGTTGTAACCCCACGGAGAGGGACGGGGATTGAAACCACCAAAAGGACGAGCCTCCATTGGACGGCCTTACCTGAAACAACCAAAGAAATTATAGCAAAACAACTGCAAATAAAACCTTAACATATTTGCACAAATTTAACAAAGGTATCCAGATTAAAAACGATGTCTTCATGAAAGGTTTAAGGGAAAAAAAAGAATCTGATGTGTACACCACATGACTTCCTTGCACAGAATATTAAATTATACACATTTTTTCTTGAATTTCATTTAAACTTATTGGGATTGAATTAAACCTACTTCGCCGACAGCGCATAAACCACAATAGAATAAATGCATTCTTTAAAATTCACTTTGTTTGCCATAGCGACACTCTGGCACTAGGTTTATTTAACAGTATTATATTTTGTTCATATTATAACTCAGAATACACAAAATTTATATCAATTAAAGGATTATCTAATCGTTCCCACATGTTCTATTCAATACTATAATAAAGCTAGAACGACGTATAAAAGAAATTAAGCAAACAAAACAAAAAAGAAACAGTTTTTCACAGACGATTCAGTATTTCTCATTCAATTAATTCAGCTCTCACTTCGCGACAAGGCAAAAATACATAAAAACTCAAAATATCTATATTAAAAATTACGAAGTACATCTTAAACACTAATTTTCTCGAATAAATTTCAGAATAGGTGAAGCATGATTTAATTCGCAAAAATAAAAACCTCTTGCTAATAGACCTCACCCTCCTGCTAATAGAATTCGCAGTTCAAAAGTACCTATTAGAGATAAAATCGTTGAAAATTGGTAACTGCAACTTGCATTTGATTCCAGGCAAACGGGCTTGCTGTATGGACGTTTTCGTGGTTTTCCAGATGTGCAATGTGTATATGAGCCAGTTTTCCTTAAAAAATCCTCCACGAAGGCCTCCCCTTAGATAACCTTAGTGCGCTTTGCCATAATCAGCTAAAAGGCCCACCAGCGGCCGGCCGGTAAATTCTCTGAAGAATGGTAGTTCCATCCGAGGTTCGAATCTCGTAAAAGGGTTGGCTGCATGGGCGTTTTCGTAATTTTCCCCATGTGTAGCGTGCACACGAACCAGTTTCCCTTAAAAATCCTCCACGAAGGAATTCCTCCTCATAGGCAAATAGTCCCCATAGGCTTTGCTGTTAATCACATAACCCAATCCATAATCAACTAAACCACACCAAACCAGATATGTAGACTACAACAGTCTTTCCCAGTGTGGCTTAATTTGCACATTGGTCAAAAGAGATAAGCTTTGAAAGTTTCCATCAAAGAAAGCGAAATGGAAGTTTGGAAGAAAGAAACTAAAAAATTCTTTACTGCAAATCATTATTGTTTGGAGAAACACACTTTACGGTTCTCCGTTATTAAAATGCTTTAAAAAACACTATGCTTTAAGAGGAATCACACACCTTAAAACCCATAAGATCTTCGAATATGTGACTGTTGCAAGAATTGAGATAACTTATTTATTTAAAAAGCAATTACTTCCAACGTTTTGCAGCTGATTACATAATATAGCTGCTTTCTGAAATAGTAATCAGAAAGTTTGTGTTGCCACAAATGTTTTTATAATTTAAGCCGGTGACAACATTTTTCGTCATGTTTCCACCTTGCGCGGACAGCTTAAAACATTCTGTTCCATAATTTAATACCATATTTAACATATAGCTTTTATAACATCTGGAAACTACTGCGAACCAAAAATTCTAAAAATTTCATGTGAAATTTTTATTTTATTTGGAGCTGAGTTTATAAAATGTATTTTATTAAAAAAATCTGTAATGTTTTCGTGCGTAAAATTTTTTAATATTAAAATATTCATCAGATTTTTGGTTCAGTTAGAGAATAGAGCCTATATAAAAAATTCCATCCAATTTCATGTATGTACCATTAGCCATTTTTAAAATATGCGCGCAAGGTGGAAACATGACTAAAAATTTTGTCACAAAGCGGATTAAATTACAAAAATATTTGTGGCAACACAAACTTTCTGGTTACTAGTTCCCAAAGCAGCTATATTATGTAGTGAGATGTAACAAGTTGGAAGTAATTGCTTTTAAAATAAATAAAATATCCCAATTCTTGCAACAGTCTATTCGAAGACCATAAGGGGTTTAAGGTGCATGAGCCCCTTAAAATGCTTTAGAAAAACTATTATTTAACGAAAAAAAAGTTTCCGAAACAATGAAAATCTCAGATCTAAACTTATCATAACCCGTCTGTTTATCATAACCCGTACAAATACAGTTTTAAATATCTTCTCATTGAATGGATGGCTTAGAGGTTCTTTTACTAGCATCTGGGCCAAACCATATGTATCTGTCCTTGAACACACCTTTCTGGTCCTCTCCTTTTGGCAATTTTTTTTGGCTTTTTTTGTTCTTACAACTATGCAAAGGGGGAGTATATAAGGTATTTTCTCCCTTCTTCCACCATGCCTTCATGGTGTAACGGTTAACACACTCGGTGCGTATTCGAGAGGTCCAGGTTCGAATCCCGGGGAGGGCATTGCTCATTTTTTATGTCTTCTCCTTTAAAAAAAAAAAAAAAAAAAAAAAAAAGCCTGGTGATTCTACTGTAGCTCCCGAACTAAAGCGTGGTGGATGACGATTCTTCACCACCAGGATTTGGCGACTGGCTCGCCTAATCCCCAGTAGTTCTTTAAAAAGGGGCAGTATATAGGGTGTTTTCTCCTTCCTTCCAGCATGCCTTCGTGGTGTAACACTTAGCACACTCGGCGCGTATTCGAAAGATCCATGTTCGGTCCCGGGGAGAGTATTGCTCATTTTTGATGTCTTCTGCTTTAAAAAAAAAAAAAAAAAATTATCATGATTAGAATTATTTAGATTAGGTCGAAGTACGGAAGGGAATTGGAATTTATGAAATTGCGAAAGAAATATTGTTTGGTTTCGGTTTATTTAATTACGGCAAAGTCTCGAGGACTATCTGCTTAAGGAGAGGGATGCCTTCGTGGAGGACTTTCTGAGGAAAACTGGCTCGCATATACTGTAAAGTCAGGTTGGTTGGGTGCAAGGAAAGACAGGTTGTCTTTTAAAATATTTATTTTGAAAACTTGATAAAAATTCTTGAATAAATATTAAAATAATTAAATCATTTTAACCATAATTCATACAAAGGCCGCTGACGCGGCAACGACGCTGAAATGTGTCTGCTTTCACTCGCTTCCAACATCAAAAGCTGTTACACAAAGCTCTCTCCTCGTTTTGTTAAAAACCTGGAAAGAGAATAATTAATCCCTTATGACCGGAAACCGGGGGTTTCCGCTGCACCTTTCTTCAAAGTTCTGCTGTCCATTTTGTCTCTGAACAAAACAGGAAGTTCTCATTAAGCACCTGGAAGTCCGAGGGGTGCATATGTCTGAACGTCACAGTATGGGGAAAACCACGAAAACTCCATTCAGCTAGCCTGTTCACGGGATTCGAACCTCAGACCGAAATACCAGTGTTCAGCGACTTTACCGCTCGGCCGCTGGTGGGGGTGGGCAAGAAATAGTGATGTTTAACGGGAAAATACTGAAGTATCATTAAATGAGGTGGTTAGTTGGCTGATTTCATTATGTCATAGCACATGAAGGCAACGGATTCCAACGGAGGCATGCTTCCAAGGAGGATTTCTTAAGGTAAAGTATCTCGCGTGTACCTTAGATACGGAGGCAAAATCACAAAACTTCATGCCGCCAGGCTTTTAATCGGTAGTGAAACTTTTAACGAATTGGCAACATTCAGAGGATATGTTTTTAGTGATTGAGGTTTAGAATGGCTGTTTCAAGGGAAAGCCTCGAGAAGTAAAAATGCAAAATTAGAATTCTTATGAATCATCTACTCATGCTGCTAAGAAAACTTAGCAGCTGTACTAGAATAAGTACTGTGCATCTAGCAGTGTACATTAAATTGTAGTCCTCGAATATCAGAATACGTACCCTTTTCTCTTATATGTGTGACAAGAAAAAGGAGGTTTCTAAATTCAGAATTCTTCCGTCATATACATGATGGAAAGAAAATTCTCATTTGGCGCTGTACCCTTGTTTACGGTGTTTGGCGACATCGTTTCCGGTTTAAACATACTCATCTCTTAAATTAGAATTGCATTCCTAAGCGTGCATTGAGAGAAAAAGAAGATTCACATTTCCCTTTCAAATTCAGAAGTAATAAATTGTTTCAAAATGGGCTTTTTTCCCGGTTGGAAGCGGTCTCCGGTGTAATACTTTGCATAAGTTCATTTAATAAGAAATAAGTAAAACAAAAATTAAATCTACTTCGGCGTCAGCGCATAAACCACAATAGAATAAATGTACTCTTTAAAATTCACTGTATTTGTTTACAAAAGCGACACTCTGGCGCTAGGTTCACTTAATATTTCGTTCATATTATAACTCAGAATGCACAAAATTTACATCATTTGAAGAATTATCTTATCTTTGCCCCATGTTCTATTCAAATACTATAATAAAGCTAGTACGATGTGTAAAAGAAATTAAGCAAACAAAACAAAAAAGAAACAGTTTTTCACAGATGATTCAGTATTTCCCATTTAATTAATTCAGTTCTCACTCCGCGACAAGGCAAAAACACATAAAAACTCAAAATATCTGTATTAAAAATTACGAAGAAATCTTAAACACTTATTCCCTCGAAAAAATTCCAGAAAGGATTAAGCATGATTTAATTGGTAATAATAAATGAAGGCGTTATTTTTGTTGCTGCGAAGCTTAGTCTCTCTAGATTGGTAAGAAATCTACTATTCTGCTGTTTCAAATGTAAACAAACATGTCCGCCATGTTATTTAAACATTAGGCTTAACCGCCCTTAAACAGCTATTAAATTGTTGATAATTCTACTAATATTGCTTGCAGATTTCTTAAAGGCATAAAAACTCTAACCGGAAGATATGAACAACATTATTCAATCATTTTTAAAGCAAAAAATGCCCAATTTACAAACATATAAGAGTAAAGAACCTGAGATCACTGCGCCAAGTAACAGAGTGGATATATATATAAATATATTTATATACGTT